GCAACTTCCTGCACTACAACAGTTGCTGTACCGTCTTGTTGGTTGTCGGGTACACTTTGTGAAACCCTTGTGACTCATTTCTTTGTTGGGCATGTTTCAGAGAATGTGCCTTGTGAAAACTGGTAAGTACATTAACCATGTCGTTTGTCTTTACAGCCTGAAGGTGCAGCTGTTGGCAATTACGTTATTCAGTATGCTCTTGCTCTAGTATGCCTGATCTCTCTCTATCTCTTGTCTCCCTTTCTATCTGTATGTGGGGGTTTATGTGCTTGTCTCTGTCCTTTTCTGCATGTCTGAAATAGTTGGCACTTACAATAACTGTATTACTGGACTAGTATTTTCTGTTTTTGGAAATCAACTTCACTGCAGATGTCCTCTTTCCACTGACTTTCATGAGCTGTTGTTAATTTGATTGAACTTGATGAGGTACATTGAAGGAAATAGAATGAAAGTATGTTAGCTGGAAGTAAACTATTATTTCTCTTCTCTTCGTCTGCTTACAGAAGATGGACTGCTTGTGAATGTGATGAGCAATTTTCTGGAAAGTCATCAATAATTGGTTATTGACTTCATGATGTGTGTATTATGACTAGTGCTGGAAGTTTGGACCGGTATTTATGATATACCGAATACCGTACTAAATTTGTCTATATTTGGTATTACAGAATACACGTATTATTTCTTGGGATTGAGATTTCAATTTCAATTGTTATTCGGTATTAGGGATTACGGGATTGAGATTGGTATATACCGAAATACCGAACAATACCGAAATATAAGCTAGTGTGTATTTTATCCTCTCAACCATTGGCGGATCTAGGGCTGGGCCAATCCGGGCCACGACCCAGCTCTCTTCCGAGTCCAAAGCTAGTATAGATTGTATAGTGCTTATAAATTTTTCTATTTTAGATATTTGGTCCAGTGTTATTTAAAAGTCGGTCGAGTGTTATTTGATAATAGGATTTTGTGTAGTTAGGAAAATAATCTAGATGAACATATCCAATCAACTACACTCGATTTAGCCTACAATTATATTATTGATGGATTTGCCAAATTAAAAAGCCTTCTAGTACAATTGGCATTTGTAATGAACAAAACCTACAATTTATTAGCCGAACATTTCAGACTTTCCAAATCACAAGCCAAAACTTTCGAAATACAAGATAGTAGCCAAATCTTTTACAACACATCAAAATATTAGCCATTTGTCTATTATCGTTGATATTTTTGTAACTATTCTCTTAATTGTAATACTAAAATTTTAGAATATTGACTACCACTTGTCTCTTCCAAGTCCGTATCATGTTGCCAAGTCAATATTACTAACAAAACTGCTAACAGTAAGTTAACATTTGACTAATACTTTGTATTTTGAAAGGTTTGGCTAATAATTCAAAAACTTTGAAAGGTTTAGCTAATAAATTTTATTTACCCAATATTTTTATTTATGGTATCTAGTATTCTATTCAAAATGCGGCCCAGTGCTCTATTATGTCCTGGATCCGCCGCTGCTCTCAACTAGACTCTCTCATTCACTACTACACTACACTTAACCACCAATATATTGTTTTTTTCATAACACCAAAAAACAAACACTAGTATTAGTCTTCTCTCAGCCTCCAATTCGTCAAATTTGAGGGCTTCTAGTTGGACTGAGCAGAAGTCTTAGTTGGTCCTGTGTGGAAGTTTACATATACATGGACAAGATTTTTGTTTTGTCTGTGCTTGTATTTACTTCGCGATTCTATTATACTTCTTTGGAGGAGAGAGCCCATGAGCAGCTCTGCGCGAAAGGGAATATGTGGTTGTAGGCTTGTTTGTCGGGTCGTCATTCTATAACAGAATGTTTCTTTTTCCGGTGGCCTTCATTTTATCCAATATGATTTTGGTTCTTGATGCCCTAGCCCATATTCATTTCTCAAATTTTGATCTAGGAGTGCCTTTTCAAGTTGATGACCTCCATCCCAAAGTGACTTTGTCGAAGTCGAATACATGGGAGTTTGTCCTGCTAACGCTGTTTGCATTGTTGAACATTCAGGTGTTGAAAGAGAGCTTTAAAATATATTGTGCTATCAATGACGGAATTATCAATCTTGTGGATAAGGTAAATATTATTGGATGGGCTCATCCTGATGCATCTCAATATTTATGCTCTTTAAGAAACCAATGTTCATGGTCCTTTCATTTTGTTATGTTTCTCCTTGCAGTTTTTTGAAATGCCAAGGCATGAAGCCATCAAAGCTCTTGATGTCTATAAAAGAGCTGGCCAGCAGGTAATGTAGTGAAGTGATTGGCATGTTAGAGCTATATGTAGTTAATGATTAGAGGAATGCAGTGTTTAAGCTCTTTTGTAACTTTCCAGGCTGCTACCCTCTCTGATTTCTATGAAGTGTGCAAAGGACTGGAACTTGCTAGGAACTTTCAGTTCCCTGTTTTAAGAGAGGTATCTTATATTGTGGTTTTGATGTTCCTATTGTTTTGTTAGCTTACCAAAATATTATTAATATAAAGATATATTTTCTTTCTGTAGCCTCCACAATCTTTTCTTACAACCATGGAAGAGTACATACGAGAGGCGCCTCGTGTTGTGTCTGTTCCAAATGAACCATTGGTAAGTATAACTATGCCTGTCAGATGTTAATCTCCGAGCCAGGGGTAAATATATCTAGGCTTGGATATTAGCAAACAGTTTCAAGAATGCAAAATTGAAGCAAGGTTTTTCGTGGATTACCTGGAACCACAAATTTTATTTCCTCAAAATACAATTTTGTGATAGTGTAGATGTAGTTTCTACCATTATCCAGATGATTTATTTTCCTCTGGTCGTCTTTTGATTCTAGAAATGAACCACTGCTTTTTGGTCTAACTCATACAAATTTGAAACAGCTCCAGTTGACATACCGACCAGATGAAGGTCCTTTCGAGGATGCCAAATCAAGTGACAAACCCGAGCAACTTCCTGCCGATGTTGATATTTCACATGTCCAAGTTTCTTCTCAAGCACCTTCTACTCCTGTTGCCCCTCCTAAGAGCGGCATGGATACTGGAGATCTACTGGTATTCTCTCTTTTTTGTGGTCCACTAATTTCTGTTCCTTGATAGTTTTGATTAACTACTGACACCTTCTGGCCCTCTTTTTCTGCTTCTTTATTACCTGTTTCAGGGTCTAAGTAATGCATCCCCGGATGCATCTGCAATAGAGGAAAGTAACGCATTGGCTTTAGCCATTGTCTCATCTGAAACAGGTACCTCAAATTTACTTCTTGTTTTTCTCAACTCTTTTATGCACCTGAGATGTGGTGGTTGTATTTCAACTTGGAAACTCCAACTCATTTACAGATGCTACGGCGTCAACATTGAATTCTGTTGCTGGTCATGTAAAGGAATTCGACCCCACTGGATGGGAACTTGCCCTTGTCACGGCCCCAAGCAATGACATCTCATCAACTAATGAGAGGCAGTTGGTATGATATCTTTTCTCTCTCTCCTGTTATAGAACAACTATCCAGCACTTACTGGCCACAAAAATGATGGATATTTTCAGGGTGGTGGACTAGACACACTGACCCTCAACAGCTTATACGATGATGGTGTTTATAGAGCAGCCCAGAAGCCGGTTTATGGAGTACCAGCACCAAACCCTTTTGAGGTGCATGACCCGTTTGCTCTGTCAACTAGCATAGCTCCACCACAACCAGCTGTACAAATGGGTCAGCAACAACAGCCAGTCATCAACCCCTTTGGTCCATACCAAACCTCCCCTTTTATGCAGCAGCAGGCATTGCAACCTCATCCCCAGAATCCTTTTGGCGATGCAGGCTTTGGCAGCACCGGATTTACGGTTGTGCCCCTTGATCATCATCCTCATTCTCAGTCTCATCAGGTTAACAATCCATTTGGAAGTACTGGCTTTTTGTAAAGTGCAGGGGTTTCCGAACATCGCAGGAGATGGGAAGGAAGGATGTAATGTAGTTTGGTCGTGGCATGGCAGCTGCTTGTCTGGTCTTTTGTATCGACTATAGGAGGAAGCATGGAAATGAGAGGAAAGAAGCATTTAGGGTTGGGATTTCCAACTCGATCGAGAGAGAGAGAGAGAGAGATTGCCGATGTTGGTTTGACACAGATTGTGTATGGAATTTCTTTTGGTGGGTTGCCGCCGCTGGTTTTTTCTTCCTCTGTACAAGGTTTGAGTTTGTAGCTTGATGTTCAGTTATATATCATTTTTTTTTGTTTTTGTTTTTTTTGCATATGTGCACTTTTTTGTGTTGATGAATCTTATATGAGCATTGCTTATATATAGAACTAGCAATTGAAGGCCTTGCTTCGCAGCGGCCCACATTCTATAAAAACGATATGGCCTATTACTTTAAACTGTAATGCTGGAAATAACAAAATAAGACAAAAATGAAAAATTAAATAGATAAAAGACTTTCAATAAACATCCAAAAAGCAAACAATAATTAAACAATACATAAATCCGTTTCGGGCTTAAAAGAAAAGCCAAGTTGTTGACCAATCACCTGAACCAACAATATAAATACGTTCTGGCTTAAAAGAAAAGCCAAGTTGTTGACCAATCAACTGAACCAACGATAAAAAGCTTTATTTGCCACGATATGGAGTGCTTTAACACACAAATAATAATTTTATCCCCTTTCTTATCTCTTAAGTCTCATGCCAATTGACAGGTAATAACATGAAAATTTGGAAGAAGAAGACGATAAGAGAAATAGATTGAAGAATTTTGCATGTCGATTGTACATCTAAATTTGTCATTGTTGTGTTAGAAAAATATTGTCATTGTTTACTGTTAAATCTTTCCTTCCTAATGAGAATTTTGATTTTGATTAGTGATTATGGTTTTCTCTTATTATGGAAGCCAACAAAAATAGAAAGTAAAGAATGATGGATATCATAGAGAATTGCTACACACCCATACCCACTAATTGAGGTGTTTTACTGTTTTAGTAAGCTATATAGTATGATTGCTTTATTATGTTTATAACTCTTAGATCTTATTATAAAATATCAGTCATTGGATTAAAGTTATTAAAATTTTGTTTTCACCCGTTGGAATGGTAACCTGTTGCACCGGTTCGTTGCATAGTAATTAAAAAAAAATTGAAATCCAGTCGGGTAAAGCGATTGAGCTCGTCGAATCTCAGAGCCTCTCTTCCGCTTTGGGATTTCAGAGCGTCTCTTCATAGATAGTGACGGGGTTGATTGGCGGCGACGACGATGGCGAAATTGCATATGAATTTGGGCGACGGCGACAACGAACCTGCCTCAAGGGGCAATTGCGACGGCGACGCTATGAGAAGAAAGAGATTGGGGGTTTCAAGTTTCCTCTTCCGCGATTGTGGACTATGCTCTTCCGTGGTGGGTCTCTTTGACGATATTGAAGTGGTTGAGCATCGGCGACGGGAACGGTGAGATTGGGTTTCGCGGCGGGTCTCTTCTGATTGTGCTCTTTCGCATTGGGTCTCTTCGTCAATAGTGAAGGGGTTGATTAGCGAGTCACCGGAGGGAAGAATTGGAACAAGATTCAGAGTTGCTTGATTGAGGGCAAAGTCTGCTCCAAGTTCTCTTGGACGACGGTGAAGGCGGTGAGCAGAGGGTGACAGCAAGTGAGTGTGATGAGCAGGGGGCGACACGGATTCTGAAATAGATCGACGGCGAGTGCGGCGCTGGGTAAAGGAAGAAATAGGGTTTCGTGGCATCTCCAGTCGATATAGAAGGGGGTGAGCAGGTCAACGGTGAACCAAATTCTGAAATAGGGTTTTCGCGGTGTCTCCTCTCCCGCGATTGTGCTTCGTCGCCACTTTGTTGTGCCACCGGCGCGAACACAATGGTGGCGTTTCCTCATCGATAGTGAAGGTAGCGACAGCGACGGCGAACTAGATCTTCAAATAGGTTGACGACGACACTGTAACTAGGGACTGAGCAGGGGATTCATTGGGTCTTCAATTGGTTGCAGCTTTGCTGTGTTTCTTCCTTCAAGCTTTTAGGTAATAAAGATGATCCTCAGATTCTGAATGTTTCTCCATTTCTCACTTCAAATCCTTCTTCTTTCACCTGCTACTTCTTTCTCATCGTCTGACTAAAAGAACCCCAAACTCGGCCGTCATTTGTAGAGACAACTATTCCTTCTTTTTCATAATTTTAGCTCACTATAAGTTTCAATTATGATTGTTCTTGTATAATGCTTCTGGGTTTCATGGAAAGTGTATGAAATATGATGAATTGGAGATCATCATTAGGGAATTGAAGATTTTCTGTGAGTGTATCGTCAATTGGGTTGGTTTGTGTTTTGCTGCATTGATCATTACCATGGACATTCATAACCTTAAACGATCTTGCTACTTCTGTCTAGTTGATAATCCAATCAATTTGTAGTCTTGTATTAGGATTGCAGGTGTCGCAAAAAGACTAGAAAAGCAGGTTGTGTTCAATCCTGTACTATCTGGTTTTGTGTTCAATCCTGTACTATCTGGTTATCACTCTCAATGAAATTAAATCCTCTTCTATTGTAGATAATGACTCGTAGATTGCATGTCAATAGTCTTGGATTAGTGTAGCTGATACTCTCTGCAAAAACTGTTGGTCTATGGTGTTCATGCCATCTTGTATGCCCTCTGGTTTGTGGGGTGATGAAATTGCTTACCAAGACAAAAAGGAAAGAAAGAAAACAAAAAACTCAAACAAAGCATAATAGAGAGATAGTAGAGGTAAAGCAAAGACATGTTAATCTCAGAAACTAAAACAGTCCACGGTTTATTATAGTTGCAAAAGACATAGTGACATATATGAACATATTTTGATATTAGAGCATTCATAGACAAGATTTATATCCTACAAGGATCATACAAATTGACTATTTGCCTGGAGGAGTATAATAGTTGACCTGATTAGTAGGGTTAGAGAACCATCTATCCTACTTTCCTTTAGTTGTATCGTTCGTCGATTTATCATAAGAATTGTTCTGCATCCAAGTGTTTGCTGAAATACACCATGATTGCTTCTGGCTTCCATGTGTTTGACGTTATGTCCGTGTGGAATACTGAACTAGGAAAACAACGAGCCTGAATTACTTAATGCCCCATTCGTAGTACGTAATAGTTAATACAGTAGGAATCCTTTCTTTCTTCTATGATGCTTTTGTATTGCCACAAGGATTTGCAGTATTAGCATCACCTTAATCGTAACCTGTCTATGATTTTGTTGTTTACGTGAGTTGACTTTTATTTTTTGTATTATGTGTAGGGACTTTGATCTGGTAACTCTTTCAGGTGCTACACGTTGGATTTAGAATTCAATTTCTCTTGTGATAGAGCTGCAATCTCGGTCTTCCATTCCAGGAAAGTTACTCAAATCTCGCCCTTTTAACTTCAGCCGTGAATTGGTATTCAAGATCGTTTGTCTGTGCCTCTTTGATTTCTACTCGTGACACTTACCCTGATGTTGATTGTGCTTTCGGTCATCACAATTATGACCTGCATATTTGGAAGTAGTTGTACTTTGCTGTATGGAAGAGCTACGGTGTGATTGATGGTGTGAATTTATTTGATACTTTTACGCAATGGATATATGCTTGTGCTTTTTGATTGAATGCGTGCATGGTTAGCGCCCGGCTTATGCTCTCTTCTATCTATAGTGATGGCAATGACAGTATAGTGACACGTCCCGTCTCTTTTCAAAAACCAAACCATAACTCAAACCAAAACCCGGTTACTCCGGAGCAACCCAAACCACATTTTAAAATAAAACAAACCGACATCATTTAAGAATTTTTAACGAAAAGCCCCAACACTTGGGCAAAATTGTCAATCTCAAACACTTAAAACGACTTAACACAGAATCTCCAATTTATACTAATAACCATGAAACATAATAATTAACTAATCTAACTTGACTCCTCATGAGCTTTCCGATATCGCGTCGACGCTTGTACTGCTACTCGCCTCGCCCTGCTTCTTCTCGGGATCCACTTCTGCTAGACTATCCTAGACCTGGTGAGTGAGAAGGGGTTAGTCTCGTCGTTACTTCCTAAGGTCTTTGCCCTAGGAAAACTCCTTACTGAACACATTATTAGGGGATTGCCTTCCTTAGTCGAAAGTCGTTCTCACTTTCATCCTTTAAACTTTACTATCAAACAGTCTATAAGAGATCTCTACTCCTATCTTATCTTTAGAATTTCTTACTTATCCTCTTAATCCAAAGACACCAACACAAGGGACCACCGCGTTACATCTCGCTGTCCGGTGTCCCTACCCTAGTATGCCAACCGCGTTATGTCTCGCCGTCCAGTTGCATACCCAAACTCGGCAATGGCACTACGTTACGTCTCGTCGTCCAGTCCATGCCCGTCAACTACTGCGTTACGTCTCGCTGTCCAGTAGTGACCCCAACATACTCGATCAACTGCTGCGTTACGTCTTGCCATCCAGTAGTGATCCGACCATCAACCGAGTCCAGTAGTGGCCCAACCGCCCGGGGGTTCCTTATACCATCAACCAACTATTACAATCATATATCCATACATTCATACATAGCACAACGCGTGCCTCCACCCTTACAGGCGGTGGGATGCCTCACACACATATCGCGCAATACTAAAAAATTAACGAAACTACTTTAAGTAAAATAAACTAAAGACCTACGACAGAGATTTTACCCCCTTTACACTCACCTCGAAAAGATGACTCCTCAATTCCTTCATCGAAGACACCCCTCCTTAGCCGGATTATCTTGGGGAAACCTATTAAAAAGAATCCATTTTCTTAGACGACCTTTCTTGATTTAAAACCCCTTTTGAATCACTAGAACATCCTCTCCTCAAACTCCAGTCCTTGAACCTCATTCCTAGGGTCCTTTAACCCCCACTAAAATTTTGTAGAATTAATCCCTTCAAAAACGACTATTTTTCTTGATTATTTGAGTCTTTGACGAATTATCCACCTAACTAGAACCTTCTTCAAAATTCGGATAATAATTTTCCCATGTCAATCATATATCCCTATACCCTGGAAAATTATTAAACCCTTAAAAAACCCTCGGAAAGATTTTTATTTAATTAAAACAAATGTTCAAACAATTTCTAAAAATAGAAATACATCTTCAAAAATTCCCAAATTAAATTACAATCATTTTCTAGACGTCTCTCAATTTATAAAACTGTTAGATCCAGAAAACAAACTTCAGAGAGGCTCGAAAAAATTTAAAACATCTAAAAATATGTTTCTGGAAATTCCCAGCACCTTTAGTGACTAATCAAAATCTGTCACTAAAAGCCTGTAAAGCCTGTTGCTAAGACCCCAGAATTGCATCCTCACGAAAAATCACCAAAACGATCGATCTAACTCAAAGGGATCGAGTTCCCATACCTCTAGAACGTGCCTAGGCCTAGGTTGGATGACCCGGGACAATGATCTCCTCGTTTATCGAACCCTCAACGTCACCGCTAGAAACACGAGAGGGATGGGATCGGGATCGGGTGCAACTCTTTCTTCTTTTTCTCTCGCCGCGCCCGCGTTGAGAAGCGGGAACAACGGCGACGGTTGAGGTTTCTCTCGCTGCTGGGAATAACACAAGGGGCGGGGTTTTTGCTTAGGGGGAATTATACAGAGAGGAGTCAGGGGTTTATTGTGGCGGCTGCTGTAAAAGAAAGGATGGGGTTTGGGGAAAATAATTGGGAGGGGGAGTGGAGGCGCCCACCTCCTTGGGCCGCCCCACTTTATTCTTTTTTATATTTTTATAAATAAGGTTATAATAATAATAATATTATAACAATAATAATGTTATAATATTCTTATTCTTAATCCGCGATTGTAGCACTTAGTACGTAATCGTCAATCCAACCATCACGTGTAAAGGTCGAACCTAAATCTAAAATACTAGGGTGTTACATATAGTGCATTATTGGTTTGGTTAAACAAGTCTATGCCTATCAACCTGCTACATCAAAACCTCAATCGCATATATTATGATTAGAACTATTAACCTAGCCTACAACCATTTGGAATGGATTTGTGCTTCCTAGCCTGTTGAAGTAGAGGTTTTGTTTGCACAAATTTGTAATCAAGACTTATGTTCATCCTTTCCTTATGAATTATATGTTGTGATGTGCAAGCTGAAGCAATGTATAGAGTAGCACTCAATAATCCTTTCCTTTCATCCTTTCTTATAATTAGTTTACTACCAATCTCAATACTGTTCATCTTAACTAACTATGTATAGAACCTTCTGCTAAAAGAACAACACAGAAACCAATCTCAGCATTCCCCCTTATATGGATTTTGTTCTACTATGTTGACTTGCAAGCCGAAGCTAAGAATAGATTCTAGGAAACAATAATTATTTTTCAAAACTTTACTAGATATCAATTTTCCCATCACTATCTTAACTAGTGGCGGAGCCAGAAAATTGACCAAGGGGGTGCTTCCATGAAAAGATGTCACGGCTGTGAAATTTCTAGAATCAGCCGTGAGAATGTTTAGTGGAATCTGGGTGTTTTTAGTTTCACGACTTAGTTTAACGACCGTGATTTATGAAGCCAAAGCCGTAAGATTACCTGGGGATATGAAAACTGCTATTTACTTCTCACGGGGCATGTCACGGCCGTGAGAATTGAGAATGAACCGTGTGAACTGTTTAATGAAAGCTGGGTGTTTTGGGTGAAATTTATATATGCCAATGGCGGATTTCATGGTTAATTAGTGTACTCAGGTATTGAGGTAGGGGTTTTCAGTTCTTCTGGTAGTTGGAACTTGATACCGAGGCAAGTGTGCTTGTGAGCTCTGGTACAGTCTTGCATTTTTTCAATATTGATAAAAGCCATATATTGAAAACTATGATTGAACTCATTACCTAGAGAATGTGTTTACCAAATGATTAAATGATCATTTTCTAGAATGTGTTTAACTGTGAAAGTTGCTTCTTTAGATCAGTGGAGGACGACTCTAGCTTTGTGTATTTTGTTTGTAGTCTTCGGCATGCTTATAATTCGTGTTTCAAGGCATACTTATAATTTTGTTGTTGTTTTAATTTTTCAGTTTATTAAAATTGTTCTATAATGAAGACGAAGAGGCATGACCTTTTTAGCACGCGATGTTCTCCGAGGAAAGTATTCTCCCTAGTCTCAAATTTGGAGGCTTGTCAATCATAGGCCATTAAGAGATGTGGCTTTGGTCGGATTCTTGAAGTCAAAGGAAGAATGTTACAATGTGAGTTGTTGGAGAAACTTTTAAAGAGCTTTAATCTGGAAGAAAGCACAATTAAGGCGTATGGGCTGAAAGTGCATATTTCAGCCAAAGATTTCCAGCGAATTATGGGTGTCCCCGAGGGAGGGACGGATATCGTCTTGGATGGTGAAGAAGTGGTTGGAAGATCCGAGGAACTAAAAGAATTTAGAGTGTATTCGACTTGTGACTGTGATCGACAAGCAATTTCCACAAGCTTAATGCGAAAGACGTTGTTGAAGATAAAAGAGAGCAGCGACCTATTTGTTAAAACTTTTATATTGTACGTAATGGGGGTGCTATTAGTACTTACTAGAAGAGATGACATTTCGTTATCTTCGGTATACACTGTCATCGATGTTGCAGACATTCTGAAGTAGAATTGGGCATCCTATTGCTTCAATGAATTGGTGAAATGCATCTGCAACCATAATGCTGATGGGAAAAAGTATATACCTGGTTGCTTGCTGTTTTTGGAGGTAAATAATTGATAATCCCTACTTTTTACATATTCGTAATGATTAATCATCATGTTGATTACAACTTTTTTTGGAGTTAATATTCTTGGAGCATGCAAATGGTATTTTCCACACCATTGATGGAAGTTTGAATTTGATGAGTTGGGGGAGCGGAGATGTAGAGTTATTGTTAACGAAAGTGGTAAGACTGATAGTGCAAAATGGTATATTTGATTCTTTTGACGAGTTGGAGCATGCTAATGGTACATTTGGTTCCCTTTTTAATTAATTTATATGTTTTGAGCAGTTCGGGGAAAAGATCATCTGAGGATGCAGGTTTGAAATCACCTCCAAGGAAACGGGAAAAAAGAGACGGGAAACGACACAAAACCGACGGGGATGAGCTGCTTCTCTGTGAGCGTATTAATGCTCGGTTTAGTACCATGGAGGCTAGATTTGACAACTTTAGTCAAGAATTTAAAGTCGCAATGGGTGATGCTGATTCTAGAGGTGAGGAGCTAATGGGTCGGGTTATGAAAATGGAGAATGAATTTCGGGCATTTAGAGACGAAATTGGTACTACAGTGAAGTCAACTATAGAGGCAGTGATAGTGAAACGAACTATAGGTGACCCGTTGTCGAGGGAGCAGCCTACTAAATTGAAAAAGAACGATCAGAAGGATGCGGCTGATAATGTGAAAGCTTCTGCAGCTGTTTTGTTGTCAACTGAGCAGCTTGTCAGAGGGGAAAAGGGAAATCAGAAGGGTGAGGTTGAAAAACCAAGTGAACCCATTTCTCCTACCTCCGAATGTGTCAAGACTCAAGGGTTAGGTGTTAAGATTTGGGGAGAGGCTGAGGGGGAAATTGGAGATGACAGCTGTTCTGAATCTCCTTCTGTCAAAGTTGTGAAAAAGTCTCCTTGCAAGCAGGCGAAAGCTTCTAAAGTTGAGAAATTCATACTTTTGAGTGATGAAAGTGTTGCTGCTAATGATGGTTGTGCCAAGACTGTGAAGGTATTACACTTGATTAAGTTTTCTAATTATTTGTTCTTATGGTGTGGTTACTAATGAACTGGTTTTGTTTTTATGTTTTTGAACAATAAAGGGGCAAAAGGGAGGTGGACTACGTAGTGTATCTAAATTGAAGCCTAGTTTGTATGTGGTCTCTCCATTCGAACGGGCAAATCCCAGAGCTAAGAAAGCACAACCTTTGTACCTTGCTCCTCCCTTTGTTGTTAAGACACCATTGACTCTGGAGGCAGTAAAGATGATTCAATTTGCTTTTAGCAATAAGCTTCCCGGAAGGTACCTCCCGAAATCATTACAAGTAAGATTGGATCATATTTGTAGGATGTTTTTGGTATTTGCCTTATTCTAATGTTGTGGTGTTTGAACTTGGTCTTGTATAACAGTGACATATTGATTAGTCTTGATGGCGGGGTTCTTCCCTTGCTCCGTGAAGATTTGGTCCAGATTTTGCACAGGGCCAAACTTTCAAGAAGGGTGAGTTCCTTTATGTGTGTAATTTAGTAGACTGAACTTGTATTGCTGACTTTGGTAAATGTGATGATGATGCATTAGATTATAGAAATGGTGTGTCTGTGTAAGACACTAGAAGAACGAAGTTGTGCTCGCAGTGGTGGCTTGTCTTGGTTCTTTCCACCTTTAGTTTCGGTACAGTTGTCTGCTTTGTCTATTCTTGTCATGAAATTAATCTATTTGTTTGTTACATGTAGCTTGTGTGGGTAATTGCGTTTTATTTTTCTAGGATCGTGCGTATCATTGCAACGAGGAGCAATTTATGGCTACCATGGGTTCATATAAGATACTTGAGCGATACCGTATAAATGATCTACTTTACTGTAGTAAGGTATGTTGTAATGTTGTTTTCTAAAAGGAAATGGCTTAACCCTCCTATGTTAAATTGATAATTATTGTTTGTTTGTGCATTATTTCAGATTCATGTCCCAATTTTCAACCTCACGTTGACCCACTTCTATCTGGCGGTCTTTAACTTGGAAACCAAAGAAATTGAAATATGGGACTCATTACCAGGAACTCATAACCAAGAATATGATGCAAGGATGCAGAAACTGGTTTGCTGCTTGTCTTGTTCTTCAAGTTTTCAAACTTGACTTATTGCTTAGTTAAAAGTTGTTTTTCATTTGCCGACTTTGTCGTTAAATATCGATGAGGGGGATGTTTTCATTTGAAGATATTGGGTCTAGACTTGTTGCTTAAGGATGATATCTGCGAGGCGTTTTCATTTGTGGACTTTGGGGTTAGATATCGCCAGGATGTTGCTTACCAACCAAATGGGTATCCTTTGTTGTTGTTCAATTGTGCACTGTTCTAATTAAGTTCGGTAATTATTTGTTCGCATCATGACCATGGTAATTATTTGTTATATTACAGATTTGATTGTGGACTTTTTGTCGCCAATTACTTGCTGGATCCAAATCGATATTCCAAGAATCTTTACCAGTTCGACAGTGACTATGAACGGGCACAACTTACTATGTACTTGCTCACTACGCGTTTGACAAGTACAGCTAAGGCACAATCAGATGAATATTTTGAGAGTCATGCGAGACCTGCCCAAATTGAGATTGAGAAGGTGAATTTCAAGACGAACTTACTAATCGAGGAAGAAAGCCGTTGCACGCGCATGGGGAGAAAAAGGTTAGAAAGTCTAAGAAGCATGGAGAGTTGTGTTGTTAATGTAGAGTTTAGTTAATGTGGATGTTGAATGAAGTTTAGGAAAATGTAGATGTTGAATGAATTTTAGTGAATGTAGATGCGGAATGAAGTTTAGGAAACTGTTGAAATTACAATGAAGTTATAAATGAAACATTATTTAGTGATGTTCTCTTTTCTCTATATTATGTTTAATGTGTCGACAAGGAAGAAGTTATGAATGATCATATACTGAAAAATGGTTGAAAATGGACCTTATTCACCCTGCCAGCAGGCTGTTTCACGGCCTCAATAATCCATTCTCACGGCCGTGATATTGGGCCGTGAGATGGTG